GTACAACCTCCACCAAGGCATCTAAAAATAAAAGTTCTATCTTTAACATGTTTAAAAAGAATGCCTCTACTTCTGGTAATGATCTATGTTTAGACTCACCTTTGTGCAACCAAGTTTGTGTTGAGAAAGTTGTTGTAGATACATGCACACAAGAGGTTGCAAAGGAGAATGAGCAACTCAAGCAAGAAGTAGCTCGCCTCACCAAGGACTTGACTCAAGTGAAAGGCAAGGCGAAGCGAACCCAACTTCATCAAGATAACACCGTCAAGAGAGTGAAGAAACTCGATGAAGGACAAATCGTGGTTTGTTACATGTGCCACAAGGAAGGTCACAAGTCCTATGAGTGCAAGGTGAAGAATGGGGGAGAAGCAAAGAAGAAAGAGAAAAAGCAAACAAGCAAGCTCTCTAACACCTACACCAACAAGGTGGACAAGAAGACCTCCACACCTTATCTCTTGAAGAAAAAGAAAAATAACAAGGTGGTGGCCATCAAGGTGAACAAGCAAGCCAACAATGGGGTCAAATGTTTTTGGGTGCCAAAGGAGATAATTTCCAACATGAAGAGCACCAAGAAGGTTTGGATCCCGAAAGGAAAGTGAGAAGTCCAATGGACCTCGGGGAATTTGGAGACTTGGCAAAGTATGGATGCATTTCAAGGGGTGCATCATGATGGACAAAATCATTGCCAAGTGGGTTAGTGAATACTATGGACCCAAATTCCCCTTCCCATGTTAGGTAACTAGATGTTATTGCTTTCAATTGGTGCTTCCTTTAAGTAGTATTTCTTACAAATTGGTATCTTTAAGCATCTAGTTATTTTACATTCCTATGTTTGCATTTGCATGCTTATATCTTTTGTCATGCATACATTAGGTATATCTTATGATAGGCTTGCTCGGTTTCATTCTTAACTCTTGGAGCAAACCTACATGGTTTAAAATTGTTTAGAAGCACGGCACATAGCTTGTCTTACAATTGTTCATCTAATATGTGCCAAAGTCCAAATTGTAGATAATCTCTCCCGAATATCATCTTCGAAAATGATTCTCACTTTGATGAGATGTCATCTTTCAAGTGGTATTTTGATTCTAAAATCAATGTGCATGATTCCTACAAGTATTCCATATTTGTGTGCACAAATTTAGGGGGAGGTTACTCTACAAGTTGGATGCTTTGAGACTAACACATTTTCAAGCTTATCATGTGTGTAGTAGTCTCATTGCAAGGAAAATAGAGTCCCCGGAGCTAAGCATCATACTTCAAATATCCACCACCTATTGTAAGTGGTAGAAATCAATTTAGTTTCCACATGTGGTATTTCTAAACCAATATCATCATGTTGATTGCATTTTGATATTTATATGCTTTCTCCATGCATTATATAGATTAAATTTTCTTGTGCAATACTTTGACAATTATGCATATACTTTGCCTTCTACCATATGTATGCATATATTTAGGGGGAGCTTAAACTATATAATATGAGAGTCAAATTTTGTGACCTATTCCACTCTACATACAAAGGATCACAAAGTTTGACCCTCCCTTGTGCTACTAATGTCTTCCGTTTTGGTGTTTGATTTCAAAGGAGGAGAATTTAGAGGACCAAAGGCAAGCATAAATTTGTAGGACCAAATTTACAAATGGTGTCTACAAGTGACAATGGTCCGAGAAAGGGAGGATAGTGGATTATGGATTGCCTATGTAATGGAAGAATTTGTAGGAAACAAAGCTTAAATCCATAATGCCACATGGGGACGTTTGCATGGGCAAGATAAGTTTTATGTAGTACCCTTTAGTTTTACAAAGTAGTATCTTGTAGCATCACATGACCTTGCCCCTTGCATTGCATCCTAGCAAGTAGGTAGTTTTCAAATTTCAAATTTTTTATTATTTGTTTGTTTTGGTCGTGTTGTCATCAATCACCAAAAAGAGGGAGATTGTAAGAAAAATGGACCCTAGGTCCATTTACTTTGGATTTTGGTGTTTGATGACCAACACAACTAAATTGAACTAATGAATTTGCAAGTGTTTGTTTTATAGTCCAATAGGGTGCAAGACGTGACTTGGACGAAGGCGAAGTGATGATCCGATGATCAACACCGCAATCAAGACCTTAAAAGCTCAAGAGAAGACCCAAGATATCAAGCAAAGTCCAAGCACGAAAATAGGAACAAGCCGTACGCAAGATCGTGAAGAAACGAGCTCACAGAGGTGATCAGACGCTGGCAGAAGCGACCGGATGCTGGACCGAAAGCTCCGATGAAGAGGCTCGGCAAACTAGCGTCAGCAGCAGTGACCGGACGCTAGCGGCAAAGCCGACCGGACGCAGGGCAGCAGCGTCCGATCGAGTACAGAGAGGTTCTAGAGCGGCGAAACTACGACCGGACGCGTCCAGTGGCAGGTGACCGAACACTGGCAGCGTCCGATCAGTGTTCGCAGCTTCAACGGTTGGGACGACCGGACATGTCCGGTTAGGACGTGATCAGCGTTCGGTTAGTAGCAGAAAAGCGGGATTTCGTCCCCAACGGCTACTTTCTTAGTGGGGCTTATAAATAGACCCCCCAACCGGCCAAATGAAGTGTGTGGAGCTAAGGAAATATACCAAGGATGTTGATACACTATTTTAGTGATCTCCACTTGCATAGTGCTTAGTGATTTATTAGGTGATTAGCGTAGGTGCTTTGCGAAGTGCTTAGGTTGATTAGACCACCGCTTATGCGCTTGCTCTAGGTTTAGGCCTAGTGTTTAGTGAGGTTTACATACCTCTTAACACTCGGTGCTTGTGCGCACCATTGTTGTACATCGGAGGGGCTTGTAGTCTTACGAGATCACACCAACCGTGTTTGTGGTGTGGCCGCCACCGTGTACCGGAGGGAACAAGGCCCGCGGCGGTTCGGCCGAAAGCTTGATAGTGAAGACGAAGGGGAGCATCCAGGAGAGGCTTGCCAGAAGGCACGTCGGAGACCCACTTGCGCGTGGGGAAGGCCTGAGGCTATCCACGGAGTTACCCGTCCGGGAGCTTGGCCCTTGCGAGGGATTTCTTGCGAGGGGCTCCAACGAGGACTAGGGGGAAGCTTGCGCGCTTCTCGATACCTCGGTAAAAATACCGGAGTCGTCGACGGGAGTTTGCATATCTCTACCTTGCTCTTTAGCTTCCGCATTTACATTTATTGTATTACTCCTTTTGCGGTAGAGATAGCAACACACTAGCAAAACCGTAGTTGCACATTTAGATAGTTTATCTTTTGCATAGGTTTTGCTAGGGTTAAAAAAAAGAGGTCATAGTTTAGAGTTAAAATTTTAAGTTGCCTAATTCACCCCCCTCTTAGGCGTCACGGTCCCCTTCACCCACGTCACGTACTCCTAGCCGGACTAGGATAAATTTCTGTGGATGATAGGTCCAAGCTATTGCTCGTGCGTCATAGTCCAGACGTCTGCGGAGGAGTTGCACGAACACAGGGTATGAGACTCGGTTTCGGTGCGCGCATGCTCATCGGAGTTTTTGGGCGCGCGCACGATTGGACGAAATAATAACGTATTTGCACGCGTAGACACAACGACGTTGAAATCGGATGCGGAAAGAGTTTGTGTCGGATTAAGTCTTCATAGGAAGGAGTTCGTGTCAGATCTGGACTTCGTATTTGTTGCTTATAAACGCGGAAGGGGAGCCCAAGTGGAGTCGGGATGTATTTGGTATCACTGGTAGATGATTACTTTAGAATATTTTTAGGTGTAGAGGTTTTGTTAGTACTATGCTACATATTTGCAAAATTACCAAAATTCGCATTTAGACTAGAAAAATTCTTTTAGATTTAATTTTGTGCTTGGTTTGGAGACATGGTGGATGGGACGGTCCCATCCCAATTTTTAGAGGTGGATGTAATGTCCATATTTTGTGTTTTGTTTGGGGACACTAAAAGGTGAGATTATGCATCTGACCTGTGAGGCCTACCTGTAGCCTCTTTCTTTTTTTCCCCTTCCTTTCTTCTTCATTTCCTTGTTTCTACTTCCTCCCATTTGTTCGCGCCCGTACTCTGCATGGAGGACGGTGCCAGCACTTGGTGGCTCCTACAGCTGGCACTCACCCCTCCGTGCCGTTGCCGGCACTCGTGGCTAACCCGCTGCTCCACCCTCACCTCCATGGCTATGGCTTGCCCCTCCATCCTCGTCTCCCTCACCTGCCCCTCCACCCTCACCTCTGTTTGTGTGCTTACACGCGTGCTCCATCGCGTCCGCACAGATGGGAACAAAGGTGAACATGCTCGCTCGTTTGTCGTTTCAGAGGGACATAGTCATCTCACATCTTGAGGAAATCTTCCCCTCTAGGAGCCCGTTCGCTGGTCTGAACTTTTCAGACCAGCCGGCTGGTTCCCCACTCATTTTACTGTTCATCGAACCAGCCAAACAGTGTTTTCTCTCATAAAACCAGCCAGTTTCAGCCAAGATTCTGCTAGCCGAACGGGGCCTAGGTAGAATTCCATTTCATGTCTCCGAAGTTGATTCTTGCAAAAGTGGGATCGACCCATCCCGTTGACCGTCATCCCTGAGTCAAACACTTGTTGCATAAGAGATATGTTTCGAACACAATAAGAATTTTCTGAAATGAAACCATCCCCTTTATGTTCGTTATTAAACTAATCTTTGGAAATAATTATCCAGTAGAATTCCTTATCTTCACGGGGTCCCTGAAGGCAGTTGTCTTGTGATAAGGTAAAGATCAAGGTACCCAGGTGCAAAAACTTGCCGGACATTTGAATTTCACGGCCGTTGGAGCTCCCTCCCGTCTGGGCCCGGGCCCCCACGAGCTTTCCCCCAATTCAAAATTGCGGATCGCAACCGCAACGACACAAAGCCAAAAGCACCATCCCCCTGACTGTCTGCGTTTAAAAGGCCACCGCTTTCCCCAAATCGAGGTCGCCTGCCGTCACTCACCTCGGATCAGCTCAGCTCCACCAAGCGCCCGTGAGGTGCCAGTGCCACGACCGCAGCGAGTGACCATGGTTGAGGTGATGAAGGTGCCCAGCTCCAACGGCTGTGCCGAGGGTGGTGGTGCGGGAAGCGAGGGGAAGGCGGAGGACGGGCAGCAGCAGGGGCAGGGGCTGGCTCTGGTGCTGGCCGCGCTCCGCAAGTCGGTGGTGCTACCGTGCCAGATGGCGGACGCCGACGACCCAGCGGGCGCGGCCTGGGGGATGGAGATCGGCTGGCCCACCGACGTCCGCCACGTCGCGCACGTCACCTTCGACCGCCTCCACGGCTTCCTCGGCCTCCCCGTCGAGTTCGAGCTCGAGATCCCCGGCCAGGTCCCCAGCGCCAGGTTGGTTCGGGTCTGGGAACCCCAGCTCTGCTCTCTCTACTCCTGCGCCGGTGCGCCCAGCTGATGCTGATGCCCGGATGCTCTGTCCCTAGCCCGATTTTTGATGTTTCCTTTTGAATTCGTGCAGCGCCAGCGTGTTCGGGGTGTCGCCGGAGTCGATGCAGTGTGGCTACGATGACAAGGGGAACTCGGTGCCCAAGATCCTTCTGCTCATGCTAGAGAGGCTGTATGCCCAGGATGGACTCAAGGCAGGAGTATTCCGGCTGTTTGAGCCATTCAGTTTGGGGCTTGGGAGTTGTAAATAGTGTCCGAGCGCAGTCGAATTCAACCGTTTAAATTACTTTTGCAATTTCAGGCAGAGGGGATCTTCCGGATCACCCCGGAGAACAGCCAGGAGGAGCATGTCAGGGAGCAGCTCAACAGCGGCATCGTGCCTGACGACATCGACGTGCATTGCCTTGCTAGTTTGATCAAGGTATTTGGCAATGCCATGTTTGTGTGGCTGAGCAATTAAACAGCTGATAACTTATGTACTAGCATTTAAATTCTATCATTTATTTGAATTTGCGTGTAAATCAAACAATCAATGATCACCAGTAGAGATTTACCCTAGGAATTAGCAAGCACTTGTGCCTTACTACTCTCAAACTTCTCATAAAGAGGAACACTGAAACAAAAGTTGTTCGATAATGTCGTGGCAAGTTGGAAGGTGAGCCTAATGTTGTGATAGTATCAAGACATGGAACAATATTCTGCATCTTCTAACGTTTAGTGGTCTAGGATCAAGTAGTAAGTAGTATTAATCTCAAAGAATGATCATTCAAGTATTTTCTAGTTCAAGAAGGTAGCTTAACTTTTCTGTAAGAGGCATATTGAGACATTGACACAACATAGGCCATACTTGTTCAGTCCTGTTAGTCTTCAATTGGAAGGAGCCAAACTGAATTCGTTAGGTGTTAGTATTGAAATTCCTCTCCTGAAATGCTATTGCATTACAAATGCACGCTACTTTTACAATCTTTTATCAAAGATTTCAAATACTGTATGAGTTGCTGTTGATTTTTTTTCCATTGAAAAATGTTTATTCTAAACTTTCAGAACTTTACTCAGTATGTTGTGATTAAGTGGTAGACCACGCCCCCAATTGAAATTGTTTAGTGTGAAGATCCTATCTAATAGGCCTATATGCCTATATATAGCCATGAGGCTATCTATATATAGTTACTCCTTCACCTGTGGACATTATCTTCTGAAAATCCCCAGGTTAGTATCATGGTATCAGAGACATGGATTAGGGTTAGGATTAGGCTACTCTAATTCACCCACGATCCAATTTTTCTTTACCTTGGGATCCATCCTGTCTCTTCGCGGCGTCGTCCGCCTCGTCTGTTCGGCTCATCGCCGCACATCCGCGCCGTTCGCGCGGCCCGTCGGATCCTTGTCGCGTTCGCGCGGCCCGTCGTCGATCCTCCGCGCCGTTCGCGCGGCCCGTCGGATCCTTCTCGACGTTCGCGCGGCCCGTCGTCCCGTCCGTCGCCGATTCTCCGCGCCGTCCGTGCGGTCCTCCTCCGCAGCGTCAATTCGCGCGACTTCGTCGATCCGCTGAAGTCGGTCTTCCGCGTTGATCCGCGCGATTCGCCGCCAGATCGTCTTCGTCGTGTCTTGTCCGCTCGGTCTTCCGCAGGCGAGCAGAGGACGCCAGCCGTCCTTGTCGTGCCGCACGAGTGGCTCCGTCTCGACTTCGTGCCTCGCTCGTCCATCGAGGTTACGCGCCGTCCATCGAGGTTTTCCGCTTTCGCTTTCTGCTTTTTCTCTCTCCGCTGCTTGCTTCTTTGATACGCTTTCTGTTGGCGGTGGTCCGCTTCTGTTTTTCTATTCGGTGGTGCTTATCATACGCTCTCGCTTATCTTGCACAATGTCGCGATCGCAATTCTTTGTCAAATGCCATTGTTTTTTCCTCTCGAAACTTGATGGTCCATCTAATTATCGAGAGTGGGCTTTCTCTGTCAAAAGCTGCATTGCGTGGACATGGCCTTGCATCTCATCGACAGATGATCCTCCAACCGACAAGTCGGAGGATGGTTACGAAATCTTCTTCTGCCGTCACGACTTGGACTAAGGATGATGGCGAATCATGAGTGCCATAGTCACCAAAGATGAAACCCTCACTAATGATGAGCCTTGAGCACCATCAACTGCTAAGGAGATGTGGGACTACTTGCGGGGAGATATGTTCGAAACAGTGGTGCACTTTTGCTTACTCTAATGCAAGGACTTCATGATCTTCACGAGAATGAGATGTCTATCGAGGAGTATTATATTGCTTTTGATAAATCGATGGGACCTTTTCTTTCCATGGTTCCTAAGTGTGAGACAGGTGCTCAGTCTTTGTGATAAGAAGAATAAGTTCATTGAAAAATTCCTTATATATCGGTTTTGCCATGGTTTGCGGCACGATTTTGAGTCCGATCGTAAGCAGTTGTTAAATGCTTCCACCACTCCGTCTATTTACGATGTGTTGTCCGCCTTGATTCTTTGAGGAGACACGACTTAATTCTCGATCTCTCAGACAAGATTACCTCACGATGTGTTACAGCGACCTCTCACAAGACCAATACTGATGAAGGGCAACTCTTTTTCGCTTTTGTGTTCATTGCAAGAAGACTACTCACCGTTCGGAAAATTGCTTTGTTCGGTATCCCGAGAAGTTAATTGCTTATCGCTCACGCCATCCCAAGCAGAGTGGTCGTGGCGCGGTTCCACCCCTACAGGCTCTGGCTGCAGGTTCCACCCTCACAGGATCTGTGGTGCATTGCTTCTTTGCATCACTATTCATCGCTCCTTCTTCTTGGGTGCTTGATTCAGAGCCTCTTTTCATGTGTCATCGATCGATCACTGACTTGTTGCTCGCAAGCCAATTGCAGATGATGCCTCTATTCGATGACAGACGGTACATACCCCCGCCACATTACTCATCGTGGTTCTCTTTGCACCTCTAATTTTTACGTACCTAATGTCTCGTTTGTACCTCGATTGTCCATGAATCTTCTTTCGGTTGGTCAATTAACGGATCACAATTGTTTTGTTGGATTCGATGACTCATCTTGTTTTATTCAGATCGCCATGACCGGGCTGTACTTGGGACCAGCCATCGCCGTAGAGGTTCTCATAGCCTCTATGTTCTCGACACTTTACGTCTTCCTCACTCATCGCCCATGTGTCACCCGCCACACCTTTTTGCATCTTCATCAAGTACATCGCCATCGACTTCATCTTTTCGCCAAGTGGCATCATCGCCTTGGTCATTTATGCGGGTCTCGTTTATCCACCTTAATAAACAAGGGTTGTTTAGGTCCTACATCCATTGAGTCTAGTTTTTTGATGTAAGGGTTGCAAGCTTGGAAAACAATTTGCAACTCCCATATTCTACTAGTACTTCTCATTCAACTAGACCTTTTGATATTATCATTACGATGTATGGGGTCCTGCACCTTTCGCTTCCAAAGGTGGTCATAAATACTATGTTATTTTTGTTGATGATCATTCTCGATATACTTGGATTTACTTTATGAAACATCGCTCTCAGTTGTGCTCTACTTATCAAAATTTTGCTCGCATGGTGCACACACAATTTTCCACCCCCATTCGAGTTTTTCGTTCAGATTCTGGTGGAGAGTATTTATCTCACACCTTTCGCCAATTTTTGACTTCAAGGCACTCTTGCTCACTTTCTTGTCTGGCGCGCATGCTCAAAATGGAGTTCTTTGAGCGGAAACACCGCCATATCATAGAGACTGCCCGCACACTTCTTATTGCATCTTTTGTTCCTTCTCATTTTTGGGGAGAAGCTGTGTCCACTTCTATTTATCTCATCAACAGACAACCATCATCAAAATTATGCAGTCGGTTGTCTGGTGAGGTTCTTTTTGGTACTCCTCCCGACTATGACCACCTTGGGTTTTTGGTTGCACTTGCTATGTCCTACTAGCACCTCGTGAGCGGACTAAGTTGATTGCTCGATCGATTGAGTGTGTTTTTCGGGAAGTGCGATCCCGAGCATAAGGGTTATCGTTGTTATAGCGCCTCCTCTCGCCGCATTCGTATATCTCGTGATGTCACTTTCGTTGAGGATCGTCCTTTCTTTTATAACCCTTCTACTCCACCATCCCGTAGTTGTACAGAGTCAACATCCTTTCTGTGTCTTCCTCCTATACTTAGTGATGTTGACCCTCCTACACAACCCGTGTCTTCCAAACCCCACCTAACACTTACATATCTTCTCCCGACACTTTTGAAACTCCTCCACTTACTCATGTCGACCCTCCACTTACCAATGTCGATCCTCCCCCACTTTCTGAACCTTTGTCTTGTCAACCTCCGGTCCAGCAGCTCCCATCCTTTGACAAACCACCTGTCCACAAATACTACACTCGTCGTCCCCAAATCCCCACAGCCACTTCTTCGGCCAGTCCTGCTACTCCCGATGTTGATAGTTACATTAATTACGATGAGTCATGTGCTTTTTACGATGAATCACTGGGGTGGTCGAGATATAATCTACGAGACCGTGCTACTATTGGGCCTCGACAAATATGGTTTTCCTCGTGTCACCGCTGTTGTGGAAGAGCCAACCACTTATCGAGAGGCCTCTAGCATTCCGAATGGCAACTTGCTATGTGTGAGGAACTTGCGCACTTGATCGCAGGGGACACGGGATATTGTTCCATTACCATCACACATCTTTGTGCCTATTACATCCAAGTGGGTCTTCAAGATTAAAACCAAGTCGGATGGTTCTATTGAGCGATATAAGGCCCGTCTAGTTGCTAGAGGTTTTCAAACAAACTCGGGGCCAAGATTATGATGAGACATTTGCACTGTTGCTCATATGACTATTGTTCAGTACTTTAATTGCAGTGGCTGCTGCTTCTTCTTGGACAATCTCTCAGATGGATGTTAAAAATGCCTTTCTTCATGGTGATTTAAATGAAGAAGTTTACATGCAACCACCTCCAGGTGTTAGTGCCCCTCCAGGTTATGTTTGTCGTCTTCGTCGCGCTTTATATGGTCTTAAACAGGCTCCTCGTGCTTGGTTTGAGCGCTTTGTCTCTGTCATTCGGGCTGCTGGTTTTTCACCTAGTGATCATGACCCTGCCTTATTTATCCACCTCTCCTCACGTGGACGTACTTTGCTTCTTTTATATGTTGATGATATATTGATTACGGGTGACGATGCAGACCAAATTTCTTATGTCAAGCAGCAACTTGGTGCACAATTTCAAATGTCGGATTTAGGTCCTCTCAGTTATTTCCTAGGCATTGAGGTCAAACGATGCGCAAAGGGTTGCTATCTTTCTCGGTCCAAGTACATACAAGACCTTATTACTCGTTCGGGCATCATCGACCATCGGACAATTGCGACACCTATGGATCTTCATTTGCATCTTCGTCCCCATGGATGGTACTCCTCTTAAGGATCCATCTCGATATCGGCATATTGTGGGCAGCCTTGTTTATCTCTCATTGTTACTCGAACGATATTGCCCATGCCGTCCATATTTTGAGTCGGTTTGTGAGTGCTCCCTCGACCGTTCATTTTGGCCATTTACTTCGTGTCTTGCGGTACTTGAGGGGGACATCATCTCGCAGCTTATTCTATGCTCGTGACAAGTCCGCTTCACTTCATGCTTACTCGGACTCCACTTGGGCGAAAGTGACCCAACAGATCGTTGCTCTATCATTGTGGTACTGTATTCTTCTTGGATCCTCTCCTATTGCATGGAAGTCCAAGAAACAAGCTGCTGTATCTCGTTCTAGTGCAGAGGCAGAACTTCGAGCACTTGCCACCACTACTGCAGAAATCGTATGGCTTCGATGGTTGTTGACTGATTTCGGAATTTCTTGTGATGCTGCCACACCTCTTCTATGCGATAATACAGGAGCTATACAGATTGCCAATGATCCTGTGAAGCATGAACTTACCAAGCATATTGGCGTCGATGCTTTCTTCACTCGCTCTCATTGTAATCAGCATACCATTGCTCTTCAATATGTGCCATCCGAGCTGCAATTAGCTGACTTCTTCACTAAAGCGCAAACTAGAGAGCAACATCGGCTTCATTTGCTCAAACTCAATGCTTCAGATCCTCCATTTCCACCTTGAGTTTGAAGGGGGGTGTTAAGTGTGAAGATCCTATCTAATAGGCCTATATGCCTATATATAGCCATGAGGCTATCTATATATAGTTACTCCTTCACCTGTGGACATTATCTTCTGAAAATCCCCAGGTTAGTATCAGAAATTGCATACATGTTGTTCAGTGTATCAAGACCCATATGGCACATGAGGTCCTCTACATATTGTGAGCTCCACTAATGGAGTGTAGTAGTACAGATTGAGTATTAGGTATGGACTGAGATAATATAACCCTTAAGTTAACAGTTAACCTTTGATTGTTCAGAACATCTGATTTATGCTTCTTGTCAGTTTAGTTCAACCCTGTACATCAAAATTTGTGGTCCACAGATATCTTGTTTGCATTTTTTTTCTCTTTTTTCCATTGCACGTGCCTTTTTTTTTTTAAAAAAAAGAAACAAACAATACATGTCTGTGTGGTAATAATTCTATTATACTTAATTGTGTCATTAGAACTCGGTACTGTAGTAAATGCTGAACCATGAATAGAGCAATGTCGTTGAATCTCCTTTTGTCTGATCTTTTACATTATGCAATGTCCATATGAATCAGGCCTGGTTCAGAGAACTCCCTGAGGGTGTGCTTGACAGGCTCTCACCTGAGCAAGTCCTTCACTGCAACACAGAGGAGCAATGCATTGAGCTCGTGAAGCTTCTTCCAGCAACCCAGGCTGCACTTCTTCATTGGGTTGTTGAGCTCATGGCTGATGTTGTTGAGGAAGAGGAGTCAAATAAGATGGATGCAAGAAATGTTGCCATGGTTTTTGCACCTAATATGACACAGGTACTTCCTTCTTGTCAATCAAGTCCTCTAACACATCAACCTTGTTTGCTGACATGACATGTGCTAACAAGAAAATCGAAATTTCCCTCCAATCAGATGTCCGATCCTCTGACAGCTCTGATGCATGCTGTTCAAGTCATGAACTTGCTCAAAACCTTGATTCTGAAAACACTTCGGGAACGTGAGGATGATGATGCAGGAGCCTATTCTTCATTTTCATCTTCGTCATCTTTATCTGATGAACTTGATGAGGAGGATGGCCATGACCAACAGGATGAGGAAAATGACAGTGGCAGTGAGCATCTGATTGGTGTGTCCAGGAGGCACACATCAACCGATTGTCATTTGCCTTACGTTAGATTCAGTAACGACAATGAAGCCGTATCACTGGATGATATTGAGGAATGCTTCTTAAGAAGGCTAGAATGGAAATCAGTGAGGGAAAGTGTTGATGAAGGTGACAGTAGAAGTTCTCCCTCAGAGAAAGAGGCAGAGTGGCTTAGCTCCTCTGAGAACATAACGGAAGGTAGTAACACAATTGGCGAAGAAAGAGGCAGAACAAGCAATGCCACTGATGTAAGTATCAATGAGCTGAGGCAAACCGAAATCAGAACTGAAATGACGAGTGCAGAGGTAAGAAGTGCTGCAAAAGGGGAGCTTATTCTTTGCTCGTAAGCAATCCTCGCAAGGGTGCAGATTTCAGTTTGGTTATCATCCTTGTAATGGTATGTGAAATTGTAAGCCAATCGTTCTTGGCAGTCCTTCAGTCCTTGTAAAATTCTTTGCACGCTCTACTGCATGAGCTGTTTAGTTGAGTAATTGTGTTGTTTAATTGAAGCTGAAACAACCAGTTTCTAGCTAGTTGGACCTCCGTAATCAGCTGAACTCTTGCAAGTGGAAGCATGTGAAACTAGATTTGCTTTTGCAATGTGCTTCTTGAGTCTTGACCATATGTATCTCTTTTTCCTGATGTCTTTTTCCTGTTCGGCAGGCCGTAAACGATCGTGGATTATTTACTGTTGGCTGGTTTGGTGTGAGAGAAAAATACTGTTCCAGCTTATAATCCACGATCGTATACGAGCAAGCGAACATGCTGCTACATGATGAATGAGCGATGGAAATATAACAGTTCATGATTGCATATGGACGATGCAAGATTTGTTCTTTTTTTACGGGAAACCATGGGGCAAAAGCCTCGGTGAAATTGATTTTATAAATACTAGAAAAGAGTTTACAGCTACTCTGCTGACAAACCATAAACAGGTCATTTATTCCCTCGATAAACAAATAGCAAATCCACATGGCGCGCAGAGTGATGAAGTTGCTGCGTCACAACTCGCAACGCCGCAGGACACGGCACTTGTTCCTCTCACCCACCATCCAAAAACGAATACTACAATCCACCGTAGGAAATACTACAGTATTTGGGAAATAAAATGGTTCCGCACTTTCGTTTCATCTGCTTGTAGACGATGTGCCAAGCTCTCAGCAGAATCCGCAGAAATCGCAAGGGTTGAGACACAGCCATGGCAGATGCTTATATGTTTTTTTCTTTCCCTAAAAAAACTAGTAGATGCTTGTGATTTCACGATCTGAGAATGTATGCAATTCGTCTCATGGAGTTGGACTACCTGACGATACTGTCAACAATGCTTCTGTGGTCAAATGCAATGGCACCAATCAAACACGCGAAGCAACGTGGCTATCACTATCATCTGATCCACCCTGCAAGAACTACTAGTATCTTATTATTAAACAAAGAAGACGCTGTAGTGCCGAACATGTTTAGCGAGTAGAAAACCATGAGATTGATTCAAAACAAGGACGCATGTTCTTCCTCCTTCCATGGTGGTGGTGATGTTCTGGGGGCACTCCTCCATTCCTGCAAGCAATGCAGGTGAGATGGAACAGAAGAGAGAGCAGGGAGCCAGGAGTGGCGCTCCAGACCATGGTCACTAGAGAATTCTTTAGTTGACATTGGAAAAATAAATCGTTATTTTTTTTTGTTTTGAAATTTTCTTCGTTTTCAATTTGACACTTACTTCAACTTTTATCCCTAATTTAACACTACCATCAAATCCGTTAGTTAACGGTGTTAACTGGCTGTTAAAAAGACGTTTTTACCCCTAAAAAAAGCGGCGAAGCAAATTTAAGAGGAGAAAAAAAATTTACACCTTTTTTTTTCAGCTGGGAGAATACATCATAGGCGGGCGTAGGTTTTTTTTCCTCTCAAATTTGCTTCGTCATTTTTTTTAGGGCAAAAATGTCTTTTTTGACGATAGTGTCAAATTAAGGATGAAAATTGAAGTGAGTGTCAAATAGGGAACGAAGAAAATTTCTAAGTCAAATAAGAAACGAAAAAAATTTCAGAGCACGAAAGAAACGACTCGTTTTCCTAATATCAAAATAAGGAATTATCTCCATCAATAATGGCCAGGCGGCAATCAGCAAAGCAAATTCTGAATCTGTTTTACGGAGTAACAATCAAATCAATCCAAAGAAGAGGACATGAATCCATCGATCTCCCTCCCCTTAACTAACTTTAAAAAAAATCCATAGCTCTAGTAGTGCTTGTAAACGTCACGGCAGTCGGCAGCAGCGGTAGCGGTGGGGCGGTCGGGCGGATCCGGCGCCTCAGCCTCAGCCGCGGCAGCGGGTGATGCAGGAGCAGCCGCGGTGGTAGGGGTTGGCCTGCGCGCCGGGGCGGCAGTTGTAGTAGCTGGCGCCGCGGCGGGAGCAGGGAACGTTGCCCCGCTGTAGAGCGCGGTAGCTGATGTACCCGCCGCCGCCGTAGAGCGCGCGGCGGTGGGACTCGGCGGACTCCCCCAGGTCCAGGGAGGACTCCTCGGCGAGGCACTCGCCCACCGTGCCGCGGCACTCCCTCCGGCTCCGGCCCCCCGAGGAGAGGAAGCCCAGGTCCAGGTCCAGGTGGCTCCCGCCGGCGGCCGACGCGGACGCCGCCACGGCCAGCAGCAGGAGGAAGACGGCCAGCGCGAGCTTAGCCATGGCGTATGCAAGCGGCGGCGGCGGTGGGGAACGGGGGGAGAGGAAGGACGGAGGCAGAGAGCCCGTGAGTTGTCCTGTCCTGTTGTGCGCGTGAGAGAAACGGAGAGGGAGGCGCAGACAGAGATAGGGCTTGTTTAGATCACCTCTAAATTCCAAGTTTTTTTCACTCTTCTCTTCATTACATCAATTTTTAGCCATTTATATGGAGCATTAAATATAGGTAAAAAAATAACTAATTACACAGTTTAGTTGGAAATCACGAGATGAATTTTTTGAGCTTAGTTGATCCACGATTGGACAATATTTACCAAATAACACGAAAGTGTTACTATTCATCAGTTTGAAATTTTTTACAATCTAAACATGACCATAATAATAAAAGGAGAGAGAAGCGAATGCGGCGCCGAGGGAGCGGACGGACGCTGTGTGCGGCCTGCGGCGGCGGCGCGGCGGCCCAACTGGGCACAGCTCATCGCCAAGTGCTGCTCCTGCCAAACGAGGCCACGATGGATGATAATTGCAGTGCTAACGAAAGACGTGCACAATGAACAACTAATTGGTGTGTCCAGGGAGTTACACGTCAACCAGTTGTCATCTGCCTTACATTAGATACAGTAACGACAATGAAGACGTATCTGGATGATACTCCCTCCGTCCTAGATAACTGTTGTTCTCACTTCCTAAAAAAATAACTCTGACTAATTTTTATATAAAGCAATATTAATATTTTATGATACATAATTAGTATCATTATATAGACCGATGAATCTATTTTCATAATAAATTTATTAGAGATACAAATGTTGCACGTATTTTCTATAAATCTAATCAAACTTATGGCATGAAAACAAAAAATAACAATTATTTAGGGACGGAGGGAGTATCGAGGAATGCTTCTTCACAAGGCTTGAATGGAAATCAGTACGGGTAAGTGTGGATGAAGGCGTCAGTACAAATTTTCCTACTCGGATGTAGTTTTTTTTTCTCGAATACGAAAGAGAGCTTCGTATTTTTGTATTACCACACTGATGTAGTGAAGTAGGTATTCCAATAAGCTGAGGCAAATGGATTACAGAATTGAAATGATGAGTGCAGAGGTAAGAAGTTGTTATGAACTCGGTAGCTACATAGCAATTTAGACGGGGAATCAGCAAGAACACAGAGAAAGGGAGGAGAACACGGCAGGTTCTTTTTCTTCTGAATCTAACACGGCAGGCTCTGTGGGAGGGTTCTGTTACTCAGTTACAGGAAAGCAGTTCACCCGTCATGCCCTGTTCCCTTGCAACTGGGCCACGCACTTGGGCCAAGCCCACTACCAGTTCCTAACAGAAGTGTTGCAAAAGGGGAGCTGATTCTTTACTCGTAAGCAACCCTCACAGCGGTGCAGAATTCAGTTTGGCTATCATCGCCTTATAAGGGTATGTGAGGTTGCAAGCCAATCGTTCTTGTATTATTCTTTGCACGCTCTACTGCATGAGCTGCACCTAAAACCAGACCGAATTATTCTTCAGTCCCTGCACATGATGAATGAGCGATGCAAACATCAACAATTCATGATTGCATATGGACGATGCGTAAACAGATGTTTTTTTTACCGGAAACTATGGGCAAAAGCCTAAGTGAAATCAATTTTATAAATAGAAGATAGATTATGTACAAGTGTCTAAAAGGAAACTGCAATAATATACAAAATCCAAGATTACAAAAGGTCAAGGCACTCATAGATATGAGAATGTGGTTCTTAGGTAGAGTTAATCATCATTGGAATATTATAAAGCATTGCACGTGGGGACGTGGGGTACACATTTCACAGGTACTCTATCCGTCTCTAAATAAATCAACTTCTGGAGTTGTTAAGTCAATCCTTTTTAAGTTTAACTAGATTTTTTAAACACACACCAATATTTATGATGTATCTAGTGATACTAATTTGATGCCATATATCCTGGTGTTCTTTTTTCTAACTCAAGATAACTTTAGAAACTGATTTATTCGAGGACAAGGAAGTATAACCCATAGAATGTGTATAGTGTGTTTAGGTCAAATCGAAGCTAGGGTCGTGCTTCTATATCTCCCTGATGTTTTATGCTAGTAATTAACGGTAAATCCTAAAATGTGTAATGTCTTGGTGACCTACTCATTGGCTATAGGAAGAGGCATGTATAAAACCTAGAAAGCTTAAGTAACCAACCTATATTAAAATTTGTCTTAGTTTGGAGCAAAATCAATGTGATCTTTTGTCAAATTACCTATTTGGCGACAATGTTGTTTGTTGCCAAGAGAGGCGAGAAAACTAGATTTTTTTTCTGTTTTCTTTAACTCGGTGTACAGGAAAGACCACTCACAATATTGCACCTAAGAAGAAGCTTCTTTCATGTGGGCCAAGTAAAACCCCAAAGGCTGGCTGCCCTAGATGTGCCCTAGAACACATGCCGCCGGAGTGAATTTAAACAGGCCATGTTTGAAAAACAAACAAGCTCAAGTTAGGGCTAGCTGGGGATAAACTGACTTAAGCGTCTTGATTAGTCTAATAACTAAAGGATATATTACGGGATCATCTATGCAATAGCGCGTGAACAACCTAGCTCAGTTGGTTAGGTTTCTTGTGGTGGAACCTACCCACCCGGGTTCAAGTCCTCGACTTAGCACGGGTGCTCGCATTTTCCTGGATTTATTCCAGAATCGACTTGGCACGGGTGTTCGTATTTTCCTAGATTGATTTCAGAATTTAAGGCATAGTATAATGCCCGTGCTAACACAACGATTTTATCTAGAGAATGATCATAAAAACATCCAATTTGTTATTTTGTAGTTTAACCTTTACCCAATTATTATATTGTAGCCTAAGTTACATTTGACGTAAGTCCTTTATCATTTGTTGCACATCTTCAGGGATGTTGAAACATTCGTTTGCAGGACTCGTCAAAATGTCAGCCAAGAATTCCTTCCTCAGTGTAGATGATAGCTGTGCATGGTATAGAATAGAATATGTTAGTATTGTATGTAGTGTACGGAATATAGTTGGAGACTATATATGCTTACAGTGGTGATCCGTGGCAATCTTACGCCGTCCCACGACTTCATAAAATTATAGACAAGAAAGCCTCCCAATTTCCTAACGGAGAAGATCAGTTGTTTATTTGATGTACATAAATCAAATTACTGTTTTTTTTATAGATAAGTTGAACCAAATTTTGCGACACTTACCAGTATTTATGACCCAAAACCTTTGTTACATATTTAGGGTATTTTCGCTCACAGTAATAACTATTTTCGCTCCACCTAGAATTTGATAGTGTCATGGCGAGATTGAACATTCTAGCATTAGTGTGGAATGTAGGTATATATGCTATTTTTTGATGATAACCCTTCAAACATGCATTATCTGGTAGCGGTTCAAGCGGATCCATAATGTGCACAGTTTTATTTTGCATGTCCAGTATGAATAAAATGTATAGTCCATTCTGATAATATGGTAGTAGAATCTAAAAACAAACACATAGACTGTAAGTGATTCATAAATAAAATAAATAAATTCTTATAAAGTAGTACACTGACCATAACGTACCTGGCTACAATCTTGAATTTTGTAGTGCATGTCTAGCCAGCACTCAACATGACTGGTCGAGGATTTGCATTAAGTATAGCTGTATGTTATATTTAAGATGGTATACATGGACAAACATTATTTGAAGAATAATCATGACAAGGACGTTGTGGAGAAACGTCGTAATGAAAATTATATTAAATATAAATATTAGAAGTGTACTTATCTTTGGATAGAAATCTGGTCGATGGCGATAAAGTTGTCCGGTCCTCGTGCTTTTCGGCCTGTTGTGACTGTGGTCGCGGTTGTCATAGCGCCGTTCTTCGTGGCAATCATCATTGCGACGTGGTCTGGTGGTCGAGGTGGTCGGAGCTCGGCGGAGCCGCTCGGGACGTGGTCGACGTGGTCCGTGGTCGATGTGGTCGGAGCTCGGCGGAGCCGCTCGAGACGTGGTCGACGTGGTCCGTGGTCGATGTGGTCAGAGCTCGGCGGAGCCGCTCGAGACGTGGTCGACGTGGTCCATGGTCGACGTGGTCGGAGCTCGGCGGAGCCGCTCGAGACGTGGTCGACGTGGTCGGAGCCGGGCGGAGCCGCTCGAGACATGGTCGACGTGGTCCGTGGTCGATGTGGTCGGAGCTCGGTGGAGCCGCTCGAGATGTGGTGGACATGGTCCGTGGTCGACGTGGTCGGAGTGGTCCATGGTCGATGTGGTCGGAGCTCGGCGGAGCCGCTCGAGACGTGGTCCATGGTCGACGTGGTCGGAGCTCGGCGGAGTCGCTCGAGACGTGGTCGACGTGGTTCGTGGTCGAAGCTCGGCGGAGCCGCTCGAGACGTGGTGGACATGGTCCGTGGTCGACGTGGTCGGAGCTCGGCGGAGTCGCTCGGGACGTGGTCGACGCGGCTGCTCGGGACGTGGTCCGTGGTCGACATGGTTGGAGCTCGACGGAGCCGCTCGGGACGTGGTCGACGTGACATGATCGAGGGCGTCGACCAGAACTTTGTACCCACTCTTTGCTACAAAAAAAGAACAAGAAACTAATTACTTAATGCACAAACAATTCTGTTCTGAACTATTCAGAAAGAAGAAAGGCTTTATGACTTCCTACCAGCAAGATTGTAAAACAATGATTAAATATCAGATTTATCTCATGCCAAAAGATATTCACAGATTATATGGAACTTATACGCATCTTGCTATGCCGAACAGGAATTTATCCAACAATATGGGACACCATGAAGCAGACAAGCAGTCGAGGAAAATAGTTTTAACATGGCAGAAATAGATCAAAAGTGGTGTGTATCAATATAAACTTGGCAAATATTGCATCACAACTCGTTAAACAATGAAGCACTGAATTACATAGTATAATGCCCGTGCTAACGTCATGGTTTTTATCTTGGGGATCCACATGAAAACAACCAATGATTTTTTTTCAATAGTTCAACTTTTACA